CAACATTAAAGCACATTCGATGATCTATAAATCTTCCAAATTCTGGGTAGTGAAAATGATCTTTTATTGTGTCTTGCATTTTATTAAGAAACACCAAGGAAGCTCAATCAAGTTTGACGTAGCACTAATTAACGTATTCTTTCAAGGAATTTAGTGTACTTTATTTGGATATAGATTATAAATATTAATGCTTTTCAGTTTCGAGAAAAAAATCTGAAAAACCCGGCTCATTTTCACTCAATGAACTTAGCAAACCAATTCCTCTATCAATGTTTTCACGTTGCTATAGCAACACTTTCACAATATACGTGATAAGATCATAAACTTGTTTATTATAATTATATAGATACATCAAGATGTCATAATACAGGCTAATGTTTACAAACAAACCCCTTAATGACTTAGCAACTATCACATAGCGAGCCATTGATAGAGTATACTGACATTAGATTAGCGCCCAAAAAGGAACGAAAGGTTATATAATTATGTATTTTTAATTGCCACAACTAAATAAATTGTTCAATTTAAAATGTTTTAATGAGGTCATTACAAGATAATTGTCAATTATTAGCCGTCAACTGTCAGTAAGATATTTGTCACTAAAGTCCGATGAGCGGGGCAGCCCGGTTATTATAAGCAAGACCTCGCCGTGGACCCGGTTTCCGACCGCATCTTGATATCGTCATGGCAAGCGGTGAACGTTTTATAGAATTTTATTATAAAAACAAAGTTTTGTTCCTCAATATTGCTAAATTTTTCAGAAATTCTCCCAAACCTTTCAGGTTGAAACTTGATACTTTATTTGAAAAAATTATCAGTAAACAACATTGGACTAGGGTTCCCTGCGATTAGCTTGTCTTATAGCAAAATGTGGATAAAAAACCAAGTCTACAAAGGAGATATCGTTTCTGTAGAGACAATGTCGGAGGTATAGAGTCTGCATATGCACTGATTATAAAAGGGATTTTTTTTCAAAACGTATTAAAATACAAATTCTCCCAAACGTCCTGGGCTAAAAGGCTTCTTTGATACTTTAGAATTGTGGCGCCAAACAAAATGTCCGGTATTGAAAACAAACACGTGCTATTGAAAGCATCCTGGCAAGAAGTTTATCGGAAATCATGGGAACAATAACTGCACAAAAGTGGTAGATAAAAAATATTCACACACACAATATCGAATGTTTATATAAGGTGCCCAAGAAGAGTCGTTTCTACAGTTTATAAGTTCTTTGTGTGTTGCATGGCGATATATACACAAATCAATTTTTGTCGAGGATACCGCGAGTAATTATTTCAAAAACATCTTGATCGTAAGCCTGGATTTTAACATCATTATAACTACATCTTATATATATTACTAGATCGACGCTCTACCTACTGAGCTACACGGTCAGACGGATTTAAGACTGGAAATTATGAAATAAATAAATCCGTCTTAAATCCGTCTGACCGTGTAGCTCAGTAGGTAGAGCGTCGATCTAGTAATTCGAAGGTCGCGGGTTCGGACCCAGCCGCAGCAGACAACATCTTTCTGCTTGCGCTGGGTATGGAAATTATATAATACACACTCTAGAACATTTTCATCTTAACATATTACAGAGTGTACAATTACACAACTCACATAATATATATATATATATATATATATATATATATATATATATATATATATATATATATATATATATATATATATATATATATATATATATATATATATATATATGCCAAACAAAACTTGCTAAGTTTTTGTGTCTTTCTTTGTATATATTCCTAGATTATTTAAAATTGCAACCTGGTTAATTTTAGCCCATGGACATGGAAGAACCATTAGTGAATTCAAGTTATGTTATGTTTGAAAATTAATGTAAAGGAATTTATGAAGAAATACTGGGAAAGTCGATACCATAGCAAGTGCAGACATACCAAAGCCATGTAGTTTTCAGAGATGATTTTCAGAGAGAATATCACGTGCTGATGTCATTTATAATTCCACTAAATGGATTGATTATGTTTCACTCTTATAAATAGTTACTGACTAAGTTAATAACTTCTTATTAACAGAACGTGAGGTCTGTACAGAGAAATATCGGACCGAGGTCTTTTTTGTATGTAATTAGTTAAGCGTATAATACTGGATGTAAAGTGCATTTGATCATAACCACAATGTATACATGCGGATGAGATTATTTCGCTGGCCTCAAAGTAACAAAACGTAACAAAGCAACAGTTTTACTTACACTAATCCTACTCCAAACACCAACTCTAACCCTAATCCTTACCCTAACCTAACCCTATGCCAAATTTGTTTTATAAACCAATTTTGAAGAAAAAAGTTTTGACGAAACGTCATTCTGATGTCAGCGAAATAGTTGATGCCTGTACATGCATGTACTTTTTAAATGCATTTGCCTGTTAATAAAAAATAAAAGTAACGCCATATTTACAGCAATAGTAAATTCTGAACTTCAGACAAGTGGCGTGGCCAGCCCGACAATGGACCATTCCCCAATTAACCAAAATTTTGATCTCAACAAGTCTAGACAAAATTCCATCATGGCAATTGAAAGAGCATCACAAAATTAGTAATATTCCAAAGTTTCGTTGCGAAATGTTGTAAAATGCGGATAATATAGTTTGAACATATACTATTCAGAAGCCAGTACTTTATGAACCTTATTTTAATGACTAAAATCACTAAATACACATCGAGTACTGAGTTTGTACTAGTCTAGTTCAAGTACGCGGCAACAACCATTGGCGTACCAGTCAGGTACAACTAAAAATCTTGAATCATCGCACCCTGTCAGAGAAATATCGGACCGAGGTCTTTCTTGTATGTAATTTGTTAAGCATATACATAATACTGGATGTAAAGAGCATTTAATCATATCCACAATGTACATTTGCGCTACCTTTTTAAATGCATTTGCCGGTTGAGAAATATAAAATAGCAAAAAATAAAAGTGACGCCATATTTACAGCAGCAGTCAATACTGTACTTCAGACATCATTTTCTCTTTGGTATACCATCTGAAATCTCTTCATTTTAGAGCAATACATGTATATCACAGATAAAGCACTAAACAAGCTTTTTAACGTTGTTTGCCGATTGGGTCATTCCAGAAAACATCCATACCACCCCCATGGAGGAAATAGGAAGTTAACCCCCCTACCCCCTCCGGATGTCCTAATACATTTACTATTATCAGAAACAATTTTTTCTCCCCTCCCCTTCCGGACAGCAGAAATTTCCTCCGTGGGGGGAGTGTGGATCTTTTCTGGAACGACCCATCGAGAAATGTATCGAAAAATAAAATTTTTGAATGTAATCGTATAAACTGCAGCGGGCGCAAGTACATTAAGAGCATGTGTTACGTACAGTAACATAGAAAAACAATTCCCTCTAAATCAAGTGCTTTCGGAATGAAGGAAATGATCACACGCCCAACAGGCTCAAGGATTGCAATTCATTGCTCCCCTAACCCCTTCCTTCCCGGAATGGCCTGATTTTCATTGCATAACAGTCATAAGCACATTGTCATCGACAAGAATTTTTAAACTTTTACAAAAGTACTTACTGGACACTGTATGTGTTTGTCATTCTGAATCTTTCCACATCCCTTTCTTCGTGTGGTAGAAATGAAAGAAGTTCAAAATCTTCAATCTTTCAATTTCCAAACCGGCTGACAATATCCTATCGACCAAATCCCAATCCTCGCCTCCCCAGGTATGTCTGAATCTTTCCACGTTCATACCTCCAAACCTACGGAAATATTTTCGATGATTAATATAATTTTTAATAATTTTTAAATAATAGTATTGAACTGTCTCTAAGCCTCATTTTGTATTATTTCTTGGAATTAACAACGACCACAAATGCTTAAAAATAAAACAACTTTATTGTTTACAAAGTTTTGGAGTGTTACTCCATCTTCAGGTAACAAAGGTTGCTGTTTTTAAAAACGTTATAAACAATACTGTTGTCTTATTTTTAACCATTTGTTGTTAATTGCAAGAAATTAATATAATTGCAATAAAATGATGAAATATGAAATTTGTTTATGAAGTTTGGCAATATATAATGTATTGTGATACTATGTAGTATAATGTATAATTTTGTATAAAAATTGTAAGCCAGTTACAGACAAGCAAGTCTTCCATATGACAAGTTTTATTTACTCATCTGTATAAGCAACGTTGGCAATTTTTCTATGACAAGTATACTTGGCAAAGTACAAATTTTTCTCGTCTGTATGGGTCAACAAAGAAAATTTGGACTTGCCCGATATTAGGGACTGCCTGCCATGCAGGCTAATTTGGACTTGGCATTTGCATGTGGTTGGCCAATGATCTATGTTGTAATAGCTAATAATAGCTATCGTGGCAGTCAGAAAACCAAAAACTTATCATAGAAAATTCGTTGTACTGTACATACACACACATAAAATTAGCAAATAAAACCTTGTCATAGAAATCGTAAACCAGTTTTGTTTTAGATTTTTAATATCATGGATGTTAGATTAGGATTCATGGTAGCCACCAGACCTTCAAAGTGACTTGAGCTTAAACTATAAATTAGAACATGCCAGCCATACAAATGAACAAGCTTTTGTTGGTAGCGATGCAACTACCTGAACATCTATAAGGAGAATTTCAACGTTTCGAGTGAAGGCCCACCCTTCTATGGCTAGTAACTCCAGACGAAGGGCCTTCGCACGAAACGTCGAAATTCTCCTTATTATTATAATATATATTTTCAGGTAGTCGCATCCCTACCAACAAAAGCTTGTGCATTTTATTGGCACTACCAACATTGGCAAAGACAGTTCAAGATTATGTCATAGCCATACGAATCCTTTCAAAGTTTCATTTTATTTAAATTCCATTTTTCATGTATTTAACATAAGGAGTTGAAACTCTGGCTTTTACTATTGTGGACCAGTCCTCCTCTTTCCATTTCCAGGCATTGGTAATTTAGTCAGTGCTGCTCGATAGTTTAAATTAAAGGTTGGGCAGTCATGTGACCAGGTTCTGCAAATGGCCTATTCCACAAGACAACATTTTGCAAATAAGTATGTACTGTAAAAATATTTTGCATACTTTACCTGTCCCAATCAGACTTGAATGTTGCAATGGGTCCATAGCCGTCATGTTCCCAGCGTCCATTGGGATTACTGGCCGTATATCCACAGTCAAGACGAATTAATAAAGGATTGAATGCCGTCTTCCCTTGAATACAATGCTAAAGAAATAAGCCAGACAATTAGAACATGAGGTATCAACATCTGCTATTAAAACAGCAATACACTGAATACAGTACAAACCTTTCTTATATGATCAACAATAGTGACCGGCAAATAAAGATGTAGATCACACACAAACACAATATCATTTGGATCTGTGACAATACTCATTGCATACTGTAGCCCAATTGTCTTATGAAACTTCGACTTCATATGAAGCAATATATAACGTGGCAATCCACTCAACTTTAACGCCTCCTCGATATTTATATCCTTGCTATGGAAATCCATTATGATGACATTAAGATTCTGATCTTTTGTTTGACGATAAATTTCTGCAAGATTATTTATAAAGTGCTGCACCCATCTGCCTTGCCGGCCACCGACAGTTAAAACAATATTTACAGTGGCATTTCTGCTCCATCTATAAGCATGTGGGGCACATAGTGAAGTCTGGCCCTTTTGCTTGTACACATATTCTGAAAGTCTGTAAGATTCGCTGGTTTTTATATCTTCAATTTCTAGTTCTAGGAGGTATCGATCTCCTTTGAGAGGGTCGTGATTTTTTTCCACACTAAGGATCCGATTTAGTTTGTATTTCCTAAAAAAAGGTATGAGTTTAATACAATGAGTGAAAGCTATGTTAAGCTGTTACTTTTATAATATCAATCTATTAATATCATAGCTACCTCGAAATCCTTTGTCTCGCAATATGTGATTAACCCATTGAGTCGCATTGCATCCCACTTTATTATTTTACTCTGTCTAACACCAGGCGATTTTACTTGTCCAGGGGAAAACGCTGGCGCTTAATGGGCTACTGACTAATTTACCTCATTGCTAAAACATGAGGGACAATTAGAAACTAATGATCCCATGGGACAATTGTAGTTACTATTAATTAATCATCACTCATCTTTATGCATTAACCTCTTACATTAATGTTCAAAAAGACAAGAAAAATCAACCGTAACCTAATTAATGAACATCCCAATAGTCAATAGTATCAAAAGCAAATGCGCCTTTTCATTTCAACTAATTCAATTGAATGGAACTGTTTTATTGTCTCGGTAGCTATGATATTACAAATGTCGATAGCTATGATATTATGATATTCCTCCATGTGGGGTGATCTTTTCTGGAACCCAATGGATTAGAACGCAACGAGGCATAACAATTACAGTACCTACCCTGAATTCTTTTTGTCCAATGATTTCATATATTCCTCAACAATTTGAACAGCCTCTCTTTCTTTGAGACCATCGTTACCGAGACACACCCAGCCACCGCGAGTCACATTGCTCTTGTCAATTGGATATAACGAACTATAATGGGTCTCCCAAACACCTTTATAATTCGTCAAAGTATGATCAACTATATAACTTGGCTTATAATCACAGCTCGTTAACACATTCTTAACGACTTTGTCCGGGATAAGCGGGAGCTTGAACAAGTCATTTCGCTGTTGCTCTTGCTCGTTAAGTATTGGAAATCGAATTTTTCTATGTATGGTTGGAATTTCCAAATTAGGCTCAGTACTATCAACTTCGCCGTTTCGTAAATAGGCATCCAAAGCCTTTACCGATATATCCGAGCCGCCAATCTCTGCAAAGTGTGAGCCACCAGGAACCTTCCACGTTAATGCAAAGTCGTCATCTTGGTTACCTTTTTTGTGTAGTATTTCTATGTAATACTTATTTTTAGCTACTAATTTCAATTCAAATTTCCCAACCGAGTTGTGAGAAAGTGAATTCTGGTACACTAGCTCTGCGGATGAAGGGTCGGCATTTTTGCCGATCCAAACCTCCACGGATTTCCCGAGTATACGAAAGCTATGAAGCCCGGTTGATTTTGGCAGCAAAAACCCAAATATCCTTTCACCAAAATCATTGTTTCCAATCCCATGTGTGAAGCCTGTTGTGTGAGTGTGTAAACGCCTTTGCGGATATTTTGGAAATAATACATGATTTTTTAAACTGTTTAAATCGTACCCGCATATTTCGCCCCATATATGAACGTTTAGTTTACCATACGTCACCTCAGACGTTGAAGAACTGGTTTGTTTTCGCATTTCCCATTGCATATGCTGTTTGGAATAGGTCTCCAAGTTGAGTGGAGGTTTTGCCCTGAAGTATTGATCATTTCCATGTTGTACGACTAAGATAGGCAGTCCAGGTTCTTCGCTGGGTGTCTCGCTTTTAGAAAATAGTCTAACAATAATAAAAACTACAAGAATTAAGGCGAAATACTTTAAAATTTGTCGCCTTCTTGGAAGAAAATATAGAAACATTTCTCCAACATGGCGGCTGTGTTTCCACTTTACTAACATTTTATATTATATTTTATAAATACTATAATTTAAAATATTATTTGCAATGATATATGGTATAAATATGGATTGAAACCATAATTGAAACCTTCGCTATTAAAATAAATAAATGTGGTGTTTGCTACAAAAACATAACAATAAAACTAAAGGTTTTTTTGGACGGAATTAAAATCCTATTTTCCACTTTCAAGAACATGAAGTTGAATAATAAAAATTCCAAAAAAAGTTATTGTCAAAAAATTGCAACAAAATATTGTAACAATTTTAAAAACAATTGGATACGAATGATAAATAACAGCTTTATAGAAAAGAAATTGTGAAATAAAATTCTACAAATTAATGGGGGGGGGGAGGCAAAAGTCTACAACACGAAGTATTCCCAGGCGGTCACCCATCCAAGTACTAACTTCGCCCGACCAGGCTTAACTTCGGTGATCAGACGAGAACCGGTGTTTTCCTGGTGGTATGGTCGTAGACATTTGAACTTAAAATTTACGTTATTTAATAGCTGGAATTTGGCACCACAATTGTCACTGATGCATATTAAAAAATAAAATAGAAAATACTGTCATATTTTATATATTTCTAAGGGACCGCTCATTATTTATTGTACAGGGGGGGACTGAGGAGAAACTCTAGAGTTGTAATATTTTTTCGTTGCCCCCCTCTTAAGACAAGTAAAATTTTCATAGCCCCCCCCCAACAGGCAAAACAAGAACATAAATTTTGCCCCCCCCCCCTCTAGCTCTTTATCTTTATTTAGAGAAACAAAAACTCTAGCTATTTATTTTAGAGAAAGAAAAATAGGTAATGGGGACCAATAGACATTCCCATTATAGACTAATTTTTTATCTTAGCAAAAAAAGTATATTCCCGGGAAGGGCATACTAAAATTACTAAAATTCCAAAGTTTGGTTGCAAAATGCTGTAAAATATGTAGAAAATATAGCCTTCCAAAGTTTGCAAATTTTGTATTCTTTTGTATAATTGCAATTTTCGCATGCAATACAAAAGTGTACAAAATTTGCAAACTTTGCAAGGCTATATTTTCCGTATTTTGCAACAATTCGCAACCAGACTTTGCAATAATTTACTTATTTTAGTATGCTCTTTCTAGCTGTGGTGATTTATTTGCATCAAGGCCGGATTTTGAGGGAAGTGTGGAGAGGTGCGCACCTCCCCAGAGATCGTTTTGCACCTCCCCTGAGAATTTTTTCACCTCTCTTGAAAGGTCATGCACTTCCCCTTGGGAAAGTTTCAATGATGGAACAAAGTGAAAATGTGATGGTTGCTTAGGATCTACATTTTGTGACGTAAGAAAGTTTTCTCTGTAAAATTGAAACAGTGATAGCCATGTCAAGCACCCTTTTAATGCAATGTTTTGAAAGAAACAGTGTAGCAATTGTAATGAAGGGCAAGATTGGAGTCATACATTCATAATTCATTAATACAATGCAGGGGCGGATCCAGACCGATGCCAACGATGCGAATGCATCGGTCAAAATTGAGAAATCATGTTGCTTGAAATAATATGTCGTCAATACTTAGTCAAGCACTCAGTAATAGAATATCTTTGAATCTCTCCAGCTATCAAACCGCAACTATTTGCTTAAACTTGACTCCATGTGACTGTCCATGTCGGGAATACACTATTTAGGATGAAATCCAATTTAAATTGTCTCAATAACAGTCGAAATTGTCAAAATAAGTCCAATATGCGACGTGCGATCGCAAAAGTATTTTCTGTTGTTTACTTTTTATTTTGCGACACTTAAACGTGAATAATTTCGCGACAAAATATAATATTTTT